TTCGCGCTGGCGTCTTCTATCTCTGCTAATGAAGTGACAAGACTGTGTTATTTATCCCCTTGTTCCCGTTTGCTTGATTTAAACCTCGTCCTATGCTATTGGATCCCGTCAACATAAACCAAACATTCGGATCTCCGTTTGAAAAGAAAATTCTGATTTAAACCCTCAACCCCTTAATTTCTTTGTCTCAACCCGTCTTCCTATCAGACGAATTAAAAGGCGGAGCTTTCTAGCAAAAAAAAGTATCTGTTTTATGACCGATGAAAAAGAGAACCCAATGCATCTTCAAGACTTTTTAATGAATATTGTTTTTTTTTAACCATGAAATCAAATCTTTAATCTGACACTATCATTTCATTTGCTTCATATCATCTAGACTTTAATGGAAATAAAATGAAAGCACCTGATTCTGTGATTTGTTAAATATTGTCTAATGAATACAAAGCATCAAATATAGAATTAATTATTTCCCTTTAATAACTAACGTCTACGTATATATTAAAGAGACATTGTGTTGACGTTTGACTTCCATTTTATGAAAAACTGCTAGGTTTCATGTACAATAACAAAAAAAGAGAGACTATATTAAATTTTCTGTTTTGTGGACTAGTTATCTGTAGCTCACAGCGACCTATTATTAAGGGTATCGTATATACCATTGGTAGCACGTTAAGGATGCCTGACATTTGAAAATCGCAATTAAAGTAGACCTTAGCACCTGTGTCATGGCAAATTGACCCCCATGCCACATTGTAATTTTGTACGGCACATGCCTGTCTTTAATAGCCCGGTTGTGTAGGATAAATTCAAACCACTTATATCATACATTATGCATTACAATGACTTGATATTTAGTCAAAATATAGTTGGTGGGCAATACAGAAAAACGATACAAAATTTGTATTGAAAATTGAAAATAAAATCGGAAGGTATCGCGACATTATTTTCTGAGTGAACTGATGAGCCATGTTAGACAGGCATACAGGGAACTGATTTTGTCGATTTCAAAATGTCATGCGATCATTATCGTGCCCCCACTGGTATACATGTGACAGCGATTTTTAGGTCAATCCGAACGACTAGACTATTTTCCTTGTCAGGCCCTCGGTTCTGCAACGCCCGCCTTGCAACACTGACAAGAGGAACCGGACTGGAAAATTCCGAGGCACTTCCTGGGCCAACACCGGCTCCGAAACCTTGAGCGCGTTGTCAATGAGCCAGCACCGTAATCGCCGAGCCACCGCCAATCCCACAAAATTATAAATCATAAGAACTGTGAACTCGGGGAGGGCAAAACCACACGAGCTAAACTTTAAAGAACACAATTCTGAAACAAGGTGTTTTATCATAAAATAAAATTATGCTGATAGTTAACAATAACACTGCAAGTCAAATATTGAATTCCAATAAATTTCTTTTTTGAAAATGTGTTCAGGTGGAAAAGGGTTATTCTTAATTAAAGGTGATAGTCCACCTATTTATATATCACAATATCAGCTATGTAATCATGACAAAAACTAAAATCAGCTTTACAAAAAATAATAGCTAGAATTACAAACTAAATTGATATTGTGTTCCTGGTGTCATAGGAGGGACCAGAATTAAGATTTGTAAAAGGCAGTCTTGACAAATATTTATTTTTTATTTTTTTGAAAATTTTGATGACGTCATAAAAGCATTGTTTAATTAAACATACATTATGCAAGAGCTAAATCTGCGTATTGCAGTCTTTCTTTAGGCCTGAAATGTTATCTAAATTATTAATTAGACATTAATTGACTTATCCAGACCATAATCAACTCTCGTCAACACTAGCCTGCCATATTTACTGGATTAGGATCCGATTGCTGCTCTACGCTCATTCATGATTAAATCAAGAAATGGATTATCGAGACTATGTATTTTATCGTACCGACTTTAGTAATGATGATCGAGGCTAGGCCCAAAATAAATTCAATCGCTAAATTCTAGGTTCAGAGTGGATCAATTTGACTGAAATTTTCAGCAAATTCCCTTTACATTATCCAGTTTTTAACTATTATAGCGAGAACTGCCAGCTTTTTATCTAATCTCCCATAATGTATCTTTAAGAGTGACTTTTCATGAATGTGGATGGATGCAGCTATCATCAGTATCTATTATTTGCATAGAAACATATATAAAATCTTCTTTGAAATTCCATTAGTGATTGTTTCTGTTTGACATCAAACAATGGGAACAGTACCCAAAAGAAGCCCTGTAGTCTCTTAGATGATTAACCTTTGTTTCCTACTAAAAATCTTAGTTGGTGAATAAGAAAATGAACACTGAAGTAATATAAGTAGGCACGTTAAAGATACATTAGTTAAGAGTGTTATAAAGAGTTGGCCATTCTTGTTATAATAATTCAAAAATAGATGATAAAAAAAGAAAATGTTGAAGATTTCAGTAAAATTACTTTGTTCTGAACGGAATTGTCATTGTTGGAAGTTTGGACTAGACATAGGCACCGTCTATGAGAATTGGCGATCGTTTGATTGACAGACGATAACTCCACCCACATATTCTCGATTATCAAGTAACATGCTCAGTGGCTATGATAGGCTCGCTTGTCAGGCTCTCATAACCAGTTTCCGGTAGTGACATCAGCGACTAGCGGTATATACAAGCTAGCTTGGTTCGCCATTTATTGATTTAATTTTAAATGGACGACTGTTTAAATCCAAACTGTATCCAAGTCATCCGTGGATCTACAGAGTTGATTTTGAACTAATTAATATTTTCTATAATCTCTAAAGCCTAAATAAAGACTTGCAATAGGCAGATTTAGCTCTTGCATAATGTATTTTTAATAAGTGAATGATAGTGTTTAGTCGATCGGATATAATGAAACACCGAGGTCCCGTGTACACATTGGCATGTACGTAAAAGAACTATTGGTAGATGGAATTCGAAATAAAAGTAGATCGTTATTAACCAAAATTTCTCTAATAGCACACTATATGGCATAAGTCAGTTTTCATTGGCCCAGTCGGTATAGAAAAGCAGGACGACAAACCCCATTTTATTTTATTTAATAATTAAAGTTATAAAAACTATTATAATTGTTAAAGCCATTCATTATCGTCGGGATGTTGAAATATTACACTCGTAAGGTAGTATATTCTTCAATTCTTCCTATAAGAATTATACAGGAAGGAAATGTACGACCAGTTTAAACCAAAGAGGAGACTCATCGAATATAAAGGCCATACGTAATTTTTGTCAGAGTTATGGCCCTTTGTCTATTAAACCTTGTTTAATTTTGGATGGACTCATTATTCACGAGGACCTCAAATATTTAAAACTGTAAACTGTTTAAGTATATCCCAACCATTATTTTAACACACTGTCTTAAGACTTTAGACTTAATCCAAGAAGTCATTGACTTCCTTATATGCATACACGTTTTCAGTAAATCATTAACAATAATATTTAGTTTTATAGACTGGAGAGAAACTAGATCAACCGTAGAGAGAGAGAGAGAGAGAGAGAGAGAGAGAGAGAGAAGGGGGGGGGAACGCCTTGTTTTGTTAATGATTGACCAATCCTTAATTTTAAGCGAAGGTATGCGTGTGTTACAAACACCGCAACAAGGAAGAAAGGTGAATATTTTGTTTCCTGATTGTATCACATAAGGATTTCTCGAATTCAACTAAAATATAAATTCCTGTTTGTGCTCAAACTTTCAATATTAACATGGCACCGCAACACTTTATTAGCTATCTTAATTCAGGCGTGGTATTGGGTGTTCTGTAACAGAGAACATACCAAGCCTCATACTAAATAGAAAAGATGTCCAGAATTTAAAATAAAAGATTAGAAGAGCCATTTTCTTAGAAACATAAATTACACTCGCGCAATTAACTTTTGAAATCAGAAACACAGTCCTTTTAATGAATAGATGGCTTGAATAAATGTTTATCTACTAGACTATTGTGCCTTATATAAGCTAGACTCTATGTCGTGTTTTACTTTGTAATCTGACGCTTTTCACCTTCCCTACTTTGTAAACAGGGGCCTGTTTCACGAAATTTTAACTAAGATAAAAATCCAAATCTCACTGCTAAAGACCCCTACGCGAAGCGAATTATTGAAATAAAGTTGAAACGTGTGTTAGTCCCGCCGAAATGACCTAGTTTGTGTCGAGTGGACGTTACCCCCTCTCTCTCTCTCTCCCTCTCTCTCTCTCTCTTGTAAAACAGTTTATAACAACATTAACTCATACATTTTTAAGACATATTTTTTCCTTTTATCTAAGTGACAACAGAAAGAGATTGTTCATCATCATTAACATGTTGGTAATTCTAGAGAATCGAGTAAAATAAACCGAAAACGAGATAGTTGATCATGACCGTAAACTTGTGTATTTATTCATTTTTAAAATTTTAAAAGAAAATGGAAACAAAGTCCACTGCGTCCGAGAAAATAAACAGAGCAATTGATGTATGTACCAGGCACCAATCGCAGATATTCTCGACTATTGAACTCCACTCATAAAGAGAGTTATTCCTACTCTCCTCTCTCTATCTCTCTCTCTCTCTCTCTCTGTTCCTTACTTTGTAAGCTAACCCTTTGACGTGTTTCTTAATTTGTAATCTGGAATCCTTAATTTTTGAGCTAGACCTCGCTATGTGCCATAATTTGAAAGCTACAGTTTGTCATGTGCCTCAATTTGAAAGTGTGCCTTGATTTGAAAGCTACATTTTGTCATGCCAGAAAAGTAACACAAATTAATTCCGTATCAAATTCTTTGTTCTTCAAAATCTGCATTGCATCAAATGTAAATCATATTACTTTACCTGCTAATTGAATAATCTACTACAATGTATTAATCTTATAATCCTCAAACCTAATCTAGTAAGCTCTTTTAAGCACCGCGTTCAGAAATAAAATGGCCAACTAACTATCCTGTTATACCCAGTATCTTAATATGTTTATTCTTGCAACATAACCTTTATTATTTCTTTGTGAAAACTTACCCTGTGTAATGGCGAACTCTATTTGAATGTTCCCCATTACATACCAGTATAACGAACATAACCATCTCTTTGATGTTCCCGTAATATTTAAATTACCCTTGTTCGTAACGCCTGGTCCCTTTCACAACACTCCCCAACCGATTAAATTAGGAAAACTATAATAAAAAATAAATCGCTAAAATCAGCCTCATGGTTAGGGGAAAAAAACTTGCTTTGAAGTTTGCACATTAGCTGTCCCTCAACAAATGTGCCTAATAGAATATTACTCATGTATGGGGCTGTAAAACAATTTTCTTGGGTTGCATGAATAGGCGACCGAAGAGTTTTATTGGGGTGTCGATCACGTTTCTGAAGGGGGCTGCGAGTTTTATTGGGGATATTTGCAGATGTACGGCGGGTCTCTAACCCCGGATTGGTCAAGGGCGGCTTTATTAGTAAGCGTGGCCAGTCAATGGTAGTAATTAAAATGAGGTAGATGGTAATTTGGGAGGATTAGCCGATCAATAGATTGAACGAGATCAATACGGGTCGTGAATGGGGTCAAATCAATTACAGACATTGGTAAAATGGTCGTATCTTATTGACCCCACCATCTAAATCACCGCCTTAGATTTGATATCTGACAAGCACTCAGTGTTATGGCTTGTTCCGGCGTGTGATGCGGACAAATCCAACCTTAAATTAAAATCTCTCACTAAATATAGTCATGATATCTATATTAGCCTGATTAATCCAAATTTCCTAGGACCAATCTTTTTAAAAATCGCACCTCCTGCCCTACTGTCTGTAGTGATTGTTCCGGAAAGTGGATTGTCTTTGATGGTTTTCAGATGTCCTATGGTTTAATTCAATTACTTGGGTTAAGCATCCAAGTTATTCCAATAGAATATAACTTGTCTTGATCCTATCTTCCGATATTAGACTCTAAAACATGTCAATTGAAAGACAAAATCTTTATTTAAACTACCCAAAGCATCTTCAACATATCTGCCGGTAGATATCCATTAAATTTTAAAGAAAATGATGGTATATTAACTACCAGAATGAGTGTATCGGGATATTTTATATTTAACCTAACAATACATAATTTATATCTTGTAATACGGACCACTAATAAGGGAGACAGGCTGGGACATCCAGAGGAACTTTTATCAGCCAAAATCAGGATCGAAATAGGTACCTCTTGCTTAGTGTGCCAGCACCACACCCACTGTGCCACAATTCTATGAAATACAATTAATGTGTATTATTGAGCGAAGCCCTGACAACAGTTCTTTAGTCTTATCACCCAGTAATAAATTGTAATTGCATTCCCAAAGAAGTGTGTACTGCCTATATTGCGCGTCTTTTATTTTAAATCTTATATTATGGCGCGTCTTTTATTTTAAATCTTATATTATGGCGCGTCATTTGTCTACCTACACAAACTTATTGGACAAAATAAACAAAATTACTATTGCTAATTATTTATTAGTGCTTTTCAATTTGAAATTGAAGTCATAAAATATGATTGTATTGAAAGAACAGGATTTCCATAACGGTGTCCGCTTTGGATGATTGTTTTAACGTTTATAATGCGCTATACAAATACTCTTTTTTGAAAGGCAGAAACCGAACCAGACAGTGAAAAAATGGTTTCCAATCATTTCATTAAAATTTGTCTGCATGAAAGATATGGTTTTCGTAACAATAATTCACAATTAGATTGGAAGACAAAATGTTAACATTGCTGAACAACCAGGTGCAGAGGACTTGGGCTAGTCACGTCTGTGCACGTGGTAAATATAATCGGTCCTACCAGGTAGACAGGGCTCAGACTAGTTACATCAGATATAAATGAAATCGGTTCTACCAGGTAGAGAGGTCTCAGACTACTCTCGCCAGGTATAAATGCAATCGATCCTACCAAGTAGACAGGGCTCTGACTAGCCACGTCAGATATAAACGAGACAGGACCTACCATTTAGTGGGGATTGAAAAACCGAATATTAGAATCTAAATACAATACAGGACAACTGCCCACCTAAACAAACAAAGATAATAGAAACAACACAAGAATAAAGCGCACACAAACCTTCTTAGAGAAGACATACATAAAGTGCCAAATGCTCAGTTCAGTTAGCCGAGTATAGTACGTTACATGTGAGGTATAATAATCGTACGATTTTATGGAGTTTCTTTTTCTAAACAACATTTAATTCACCAAGCAGACACACGGTGATTAAAAAACTTGGACAGTGGCAAGAGAGACGATTTTATAGACCGATTGACTAAAATAGTGACGACAGACACCAGTGTGCGTTGGCGTTACGGGACCGGAAGTTTCCCTAAAATTGTATATTGAATAAGTATCCTGTGTATTATCAAACTGTAACAAACGACTAGTATCTTGCACAATGAAATATATTCAATTTGGAATAGCAAAGCCAATTTTCTTTCAAAGTACACTAATTATTCCTCCCATTTTCTTATTAATTTTTTTCCAGATACACAAAGAATAGTTTATACGTGCGAATACTAAACAAAAGCAGCAAAGTTCTTTTTTGGGGAAAAACAAATTATTCCTCCCAGTTTCTTAATAAATTCCGAGAAACATACAATATATTTTATACATGTACATAATGAACAAAGGTATCAAATTGGTCAGAACAACACAAAAAAAGGGAAAGAACAAAAATCCGGAAAGAATGATAAAAGAAAACAAATTACATGAAGTGATGCCTTCCTGAAGTCCTTTGATTCAGTATATACATACATATACGTGTGGTCTTTGATGTTGTAGGAGCAGTATATCACCTTCCCGTAACTTTGTTGTGTAAATCGCTCGGTTTAAAAGCTTAACAACTTTAAATGGTTAGTTTTAAAAATCTTACTACTCCATCCACACAGGATGTCCATTGATGTCTTCAACACGGGGCATTCTATTACAATGTTATATGACTCAAATTTCCAGTTTTATTGCCCATTTACCAAACTAGCGTAAAAATCAAAGGCTACCGACAGGTAAAATACTTATTCGTTCTGTTGTTATGAAAATAAGATGCACGCCTAAAGTCTTTATCATAATTGCAAGATATCTGTAAAGGGTTTTCTTCTGTTATCATGGTGTACCTATTTTCGCGAGTCACTGATTTTATTACCTCGCTGAAATAAAGATCCGATGAATGTCAAACGAAATTCACGCAAAACTATCGCCTATTTACACAATACATCTTGCTTGGGTATCTGCTCAATAAATTGTAAAACTTCTATATAAAGGAGTTCTCCCACACAGTAACTTTCAACAGTTTCGTTATGTGTTTCAATCCAGGTCAATATTAAAAGTACAATATAGGCAGTTATTGTAAAATAATCATTCGTAAAAGGGAAGAAGAAAATATCAGATAATATTGGGGAACGGAATGTGACAAACTGACAAATATAGATAGTACAAGTACAGCGTCTGAAAATGGAGAGAAAAACGATCACATTGGAGATAAAGGCAACGGGGATCTAGAATATGCAATGTTAGAAATATAGGGAGTACAATATAGACAGTTAATGTATTTTTACCAATTATGAAAATGAAGACTAAAAATATCATAACTGAAATAAAGGATTTCAGAATATACAGTGCTAGAAATAAAAAACTTCCCAAACAAATTAGAAGTTTTATTAGATGCGTTCAAGTTATCGATTTATCGGTATCTTCAAAGATTCGCAAGCTTGGTCTTTAGCTTTATTCCAAAATATGAAATGAAATGAAATGGGGTTTAACGTCCTACTCTTCTGCACCTAACCTGGGCTAATTGAAGACGGGCATACGCCATACAGTGTGCTATGAGGGAAATTTTGCCCGGGCAGCGGCGCTACGGCCTACTCTTATATCGAATTCCAACTGCCAAGAGATTTTTTACGTGCACGCCAATGTGTACACGGGACCTCGGTTTTTCGTCCCATCCGAACGACTAGGCAGCTGTCCTTGTCAGGCCCTCCGTTCTGCATCACTGACAAGGGGAAACCACGCCGGAAAATCGAGATGAACTTTCTCGGCCAATGCAGGGATCCAAAATATGAAGAATGGAAATTTAGGATTTTTAGTTTTGGGTGTCCCCCCTTAAGACCAGGTGTTAGTAGATATAAGATCTTGTTGAAGACACCAACACGGACCTTAGTCGACATTTTGTGATAGCATAGTTGAATCTATATAGACAGTATCTTTGAAATATGATAGGATAATTTAAAAATCTGGAATTTCAATTTGTTTTATGAGGATCAGCATTCACGTATATCATTATATAAACCCTAACTTTGGCTTGGTAGGCTATATAGTTGTTCAGAATCGTGTAGTATATTCGATGATTAAACTAACAAAGATAACATATTAGATGTCATTTTAAAAATTAATTATTGAAAATTACTTGAATACAATAAAGAGGTTAAAACAGAGAAAATTGCCAATACGCTCGGGAATAAGCCCAACATCACTTAAGATTTGAAACAGGATGATATATCAAATTAGATGTTAAGAGATCGTTGATGTAAATGATATATCCACCAAAATAAAATGATACTGAAAGAAAATAAATAACTTTTTAGACAAATTATATATCAAGATTAAGCCAACTTTTAATGAATGAGGCGATTCCCAACAGTTTAAAATGTGGATGTTGACTAATATTATAGAACTATTCAAATGGAACTGCTTAGACGCTTTTATATACCAATCATTTATGTTATTGTACCTATATAAATATGTTCCTTTAACAATATTCTTTTTTTTGTATCCTATACATGTGGGGTGGTGGGGGGCGTTGGATGACTGAATGGTTAGCGCGTGCGCGTTGTATCTTAAGGTCTGTCATTGAGTCAGCTGGCATGGTTTCGATTCCCCGGTTCCAACCTCGTGGGTTTTCTCCGGGTGCACAGGTTTCCTCCTACTGCTAAAGACCCCTACGCGAAAGCGAATTATTGAAATAAAATTGAACCATATGTTAGTCCCAAAATGACCTGGTTTGTGTCGAGAGGACGTTAAACCCCATTCCTCTCGCTCTCTCTCTGTATCATATACATCTAACCTTGTAATTTTTTTTATATAATAAAGTATATTCTTCTTCTACTATAATGTTTCATAATGTTTTATCTTCAATTTCAAATATTGAAGATTAATGCTATTTATTGAAGTATATCTTTATCTGATCTATTCTCTGGTAAATTCAACATGATTATTGGAAAACATTGGAAAGGGTGTGTCCTCACTGTGCCCACTTTTGATTAATCCAATTAAGGTCTAATTAGGATTAGTGGATTAAGCGGATTAGGATTAGGTGTTATAGGTAATTAGATGGAAAAAAAACCCAAATATTTTATGTAATTCTTTTTTTTATTTTTCGATGTTTTATATATATTTAATAAAAATATAACATACATGGATATATCATACATCACATTAGCACTTTATAATTTAATGAAAATATAACAATTTTCGATGTTTTATATATAAAATATTTAATAAAAATATAACATACATGGATATATCATACATCACATTAGCACTTTATAATTTAATGAAAATATAACAATTTTCGATGTTTTATATATAAAATATGTAATAAAAATATATATACATATTATTATATCATTAATACTCGACCAGACACTCGATTGGTTTGTTACGGAAGAACATGTTCAGTATGCTTTAACGTTGAATCATTTAAATCAACGGCACACAACATTAGAGATAAATACATACCTGATACTTCTTCTTGATAGATGGCACAGACTGGTTTGGTTTCCTCTTGCACCTTGGTTTTCATGGCAACGAGAAATTTGTCGACTGCCACCTTGTGTGGGTTAGCAACATGGTTGTGGTTTCTGGAATATTTGGTAATAAAGCCTTGGTGGGTGTTCAGGGTTGCTGGACAACCTTTTATACAACATCTCCAGTATACTCGTTCTGCCTTCCTATTCTTCACTCGGAATTTGTATTCTTCATGGACTAAGTTTTCTCCACCTTGAGCATTGGGGATGTACTGGATGTTTACTTGAACGTTTGCCATGATGAAATATGACAGACTGACTTCTGTGTTTCCTTATAAAGACCGTGTAATGTGTAGGCTTACTGAACATAATTCATATTATATTCAAGTGTCATTTTTTGAATAAAATTCATCACTTTAACGATTACAGTGAGTTCATCTCACCAATTATAAGACTGAATATTTAGTCACTTTCAATATTTGTTTTTTTCCATCTAATTACCTATAACACCTAATCCTAATCCGCTTAATACACTAATCCTAATTAGACCTTAATTGGATTAATCAAAAGTGGGCACAGTGAGATGTAACCATTGGAGAGGACGAGATGGGTCGAGGGTTCTTAAAAGCACTAATTGGATTTATGTGCATTGTGTTACTTTGTTTTAGAACCTAATTAAAGGCCAGTGATAACACTTAGTCAGTTTAAGTTTAAAATATCATTGACTGAACAGATCAACTACCGCTTACTACAGTAGAATGGAAATTACATAGCTTGTCCCTATTACATATTCAGATCAACCCAATCCAGAGCCTTATTTCATCCCGTCGTTCTTTCCCTTCAAATTTGTATTTGATCAAATTGATATTAATCCTAATATATTTAAAATGATCATAAATACACATTATTATTATCAAGCTCTAATATTTTGATTATAATAACCCCTTGTGTAGACCTTTGCTTAGCTATACTTGAATGCCATAGTCATATGCGCTTTAAAATTTCTTTTTTCTGTCACAAACTGTAGAAACGTGTTACAGTAGGCTTTCATAACGTATTAGATCAATACCTGAAAAGTCCTAAAAATAGACCGGTTTTAAAATTCCAATCATATTCGATAAACATGCTTAGATTATTAAGCTGAGAACATTGTGTGATAGCGTATTCAAACTATTCACCCACCGTCGTCAGCGTATTCATGCTTAGTTGCGTCGTCAAGTAGATTTCTTAGATCTTGGTAAGGGGTATTATGCGTCTCTTACAGCCAACATATTTGTGAATAACTTATAGTGAATAGGGTTTTGTCCGCACACGTCTATAAGCAGCTTGATTCGACGATTTGCTTTTTAAGTCCTTTCTCTTGTACGTTATTGTATATGGGTTAAAGTTATTGAGCTAAACAATTTGGGCGTATAAACGTATCGAAAACACACTAATTGTCGATTTCTTTGATGTTCACCGCCCACCGAGGTCTCGCGTTATTAGCAGCCATAGGGCGATCAGATATGCGACATCCAGTGGAGTTTTTGAAAATTCAGATCCATAATGAGGCAAACAGACTAACGTGTTTTTGCCATTAACACATAATTTATATCATAAGCGTTAAACACGATAATATTCGTCCTTTGATTCAAAAAGGGCAACCTAACTCGATTTAAACTCGTTATCACCGCCGATATCATAGGGGCCAACAAAATAGTGTTAAAAAAATTAATATGGACACGAAGTTCGTACAAAAGATATCTATGTAAGATAGGACACTTAGATCTGATTGTTATCACATGAACAGTTTAAATTTAAGAGACATTTTCTTTAATAAGAACGAACATATCAATACGAAGGCGTTATATATACACGGTATGTCTACCCATATTATGTCCTTAAAAACTTGATGGATAACAACATAATACATCATTGCTACTGTGAAAAAATGAAATTGGGAGCGCCGATATTGAACAAATTTTAATTCAAGTGTAAAGACCAATATGTACTTGAATAAAAAACAAAAAGGGTTACCTTAACGAGAATTATATTAATGTAAAAATCTATCCTCTATGAGAGCAATAATGTCGTTTCCTTCTCTGGTAAAAAAATCCCATCATCTCCCGAACATAGTTATTACTTCATTTAACTTGTCCCGGCGTCATATTCTAATTCCATTTAACCCGAAATTATTGTATTACTATGTAGTTAATGCGAATTTCATGGTCGACGAATTTGTGTTTAAACCCTCACTTCCACTTGGGTTGACATCAATTAGTACAATTCGAGGACAAACATATATTTTCTAGTGTAACATATGCTTCATCAAACCTAATCCTGTGCATCGCTAATTATATAATCATTAACATCATTATCATTGTCCTGATTACAAAACTCCTTTCATTTTTCATTTTTATAAAAAATTTCGCAGGAATACAGGAACAATTGTTATTCTGCAGAACAAA